TGTGTTTTTGCAGCGTAGAGTGTAGCCAATCACAGGCATCTCTGTTGAAAGAACTGGCCAATCAGAGGTGAGAAGAGGTCAGAATCCGCTCCGAACTAATTTTTGTATCTAATTTTTCTACTTATTATAACGAGAGTGAGAGATTGAAACAAGAGGTTGATTGTGTAGTTAGTCATTGATTATTTATTTATTGAGTAAGCTCGGTCAGTTGCACTGTAAGTTGCGCCCTTTGCTCGTTTTGTCTACATTTTCCATTGATTATTTGAAGAATGGTTTTGTTTGTCTCTGTAGGACCAAACATCCACGTATACTGTTTCAGGTATTCAGAGTAGATGAAACTTTCTGACAAAAGCTGTACGCTTGCTTTCAGACAATCCACAAGAACTAAAAGCCATCAAATATACGTCCACTCACCCAAATCAGCTTGTAACACTCCAAAGAGAAAGGAAAACTTGAAATCGCATCATATGACCCCTTTAAGTAAAACATTTGTACAGCCAGTGAAGGAATAGTACATTTTATTTGTGTTAATTAACACACTTTTGATTCTTATCAAAAGAAAAACTATACAAGATGCTGTTTGTAGTTGGTGTAATGTAGAGATGTAGAATAGTAGTTTTACACAGCAGTACAATATTCTTAGACGTTTCAACGATAAATAATTAAGATATATTCGTTTTTGACTACTAAAATGCAAAAGTTAGCCTATATTCAATGGTTCTCTCTTAATTATTTTCACAATTGTGTAACTAGTGTAGATGTGTCGCTTCCGAACAGTAGAAAGCCATCAGCACTGTACATGTGATAACTTTACAGTAAATACGTGTTATTTATAGTTTTGAAGGAATAATTCTGGAATAAAACATGAATATGAATAATCTTTTTAATTTAGCTGATAAACCTGTTAATTCAGAATTCTACGTGCAGAAACACGGGTAGTGTGCTGTGCTTGATTTCATCTTTCAACAGTGAAAACAATTATGTTAATATATCAGAATTATGGCAGTTCCTGTGTTTGACACATGTAAATATTGTCACTTTCTTTACTTGCATAATAATAATAATAATAAAAAGAATTATGGAAGGGATACAGAGGACATTAATTATTATTAAAGACCCCTGTGCCACCACCACCAAAAATAGAAATCATGCATTTAGCTTATTTAATATGCAGGAATAAGTATTTTTCACAATTTATTAAAACATTCTTCATCAGCTAAAATGACACTGAAAATATAAAGTGAAGATTGGTGTGATGACTGGAGAGTAACATGACTGATATTAAATACAGTCTATTTTATTCTTTTAGTAGGCCTATGGAATGTTTTATTTATTTATTTATTATTTTTTATATAACTTTCAGATCTGGAATAAATGTGTTTGGATTTGTATAATTTTTTGTCCATTCCTATGTTCAACATGGAACATGGTGGGGGGGGGATTTAACAGACTTGTTGAAATTGTTTAGTATGTCTGCACTTCATTTGGCAGCCTGCAGTTACTCTCCAAAGCATCAGATGGCGCTGCTGAGCTCTTGTTTTTGATCCAAGGACATTATTTTAATTGTACAATGTACATTTGTTTTGTGTCAAAAACTGGAGGATGGGATGTCCTGATATTTTCAACTTCATTTGAAACTTGGTGCAAATTTTGTGATTGTTTCTTTCTACAAATTAAATGTATTCTGTGATCAAAGAATGGAATTCTTGCACCAGGAATATACAAATTTGTAAAGTGGAATAAGCATATTATAATAAAAAAATGAACAAATCATGCAATTGTACACTCCACACTTTTTTATTTTGTTTGTACAACTTGGTAAGAGTGTGAACTCCAGTGGTACAAATAGCAAACAGAATTAACTTTTGAATAGAATACAGGGAGAGACATATTCAGACAAATCTTTTTTTTTTCTTATTTCCACAGTCAAAAAATGATTGAGTAGCCTATTTATATTTATATAATGGACCCAATCATTTAAGACACCAATTCTGTGGGAACAAGTGATGAGAGTTGAACATTGTTATGATATGTGTGTATATCCAAAAATACGATTACACAAAAACAACAAATCATCTGAATAAAATAAATGAATATACAAAAAAAGCAAAAATAGGTGGGACATCATGAGAAGCAACATTCGTAATGAAGTGTAGAGCTTTTTGTGGCTGTTGATTTAACATATACTTTAATGAAGAATAAGAAGAGAATGCAACTTTTGTGATTTGTCAAAGGATGCAGAAATTTAACGACAGTTCAATTATGTGATTGGTTGACTTTTACTTAGGGTGGGCCAAGCTCAAGAATGGGTGACGCCCAAGGAGCCAGACCTACTTGAAACTACTTTTGGATTTCTCGCAGGTTATTCGAGAGAGTAATTACTTTGCATGTCATGTTCATATAACAGCAGCAGCAAGCAGTTATTTTATATGCTATTTGTGCAGCAGCAGTATGTCTTAAATGCTCACAGCTCCGTATCGATATTAACATTGTCATATCCATTACCATGCTAAAATCTCCCGAGAGTTGTCATGATAGAACTAAGGAAGAAATGGTTTCTCCAAAGTATCCTTGCTCTTGCTAATCGTCTTTATTCCTATGCTTAAGGAATCGTGCATTTTCTCCCAGGCCTCCAGCTCAGATTTCCACAGAGCTGCCCTGGAGCGGATGAGCTTAGCGACCTCACTCTTGCTCCCTTTTGCAAGACTTTTACGTTCTTCGGCAATAAAATAGCTATCCAGGCCAATAAAGAATAAATTTACGAAGCCAGATATACCTCTAACAACCTTTACGATCCTCAATGTTTTAGCGTTTGCCAGCTGCCTTGTCCTAGACAGGAATGTAGCCACCTGCGGTACGTCACTGGCCATATCTAATTCCGGCATTGCAATCTCGGTTGCAGCTTCAGGTACTCTTTCACTTTTATGCACTGCATAAGCTGCAGCTGCATCCGCCACATTCAGGGACTCTTTTAACCCTTCTCCAATATAGGTTAAAATGGTCGTAGCATCAACTGCACTAGGCTTCACTAAAGGTCCTTCACTGTTGGCCGCTTCTTTCAAACAGTCTTCAATCTTTATCATATCATCCTTGTAACTCTTTAAATAACTTTGTGCATTGCGCTCCTGGTGTTGGTTGACCTTTGTTTCAGTGATCCCTGTTACAAGAGTATCGAGTGCACTAATGCCCCCCAGACCGGCCCCTGCCGCAGTGACAAACAAAGATGCTCCTCCAGTGAACGGGGCAAGAAAGATTCCAAAAAGAGACAAGACACCCCCTACAATCCCCACTGAACTACCAACCACATTGGATATACTGGCCCCCTTCTTCATCGAGTCCAGCTTATCGGCCGTCTCCTCCAGATCTGACAGGAACTGCCACATTTTAGAGTGATGTTTACTGAACTCATTAATGAATTTCTGAGCGTTTTCCTGAAAGAGGAACGCCAGCCGGGTGTCTTGGTTCATCCTGGACGAGGAGAAAGAAGACAGAGTTGATCATATGTGACCCTGGAGAACAAACGCAGTCATAAGTAGCACAGGTATATTTAGCCAACAATACATTGTATGGGTCAAAATTATCCATTTTTCTTTTATGCCAAAAATCATTAGGATATTAAGTAAAGATCATGTTCCATGAAGATATTTTGTAAATTTCCTACCATAAATATATCAAAACTTAATGTTTGATTAGTAATATGCATTGCTAAGAACTTAATTTGGACAACTTTAAAGATGATTTTCTCAATATTTAGATATTTTGCACCCTCAGATTCCAGATTTTCAAATAGTTGTATCTCGACCAAATATTGTCCGATCCTAACAAACCATACATCAATGGAAAGATTATTTATTCAGCTTTCAGGTGATGTATAAATCTCAATTTCTAAAAACTGACCCTTATGACTGGTCTTGTGCTCCAGGGTCACATATAGTTCACAATCCACCTCTCTGCTACTTTTCACCAAACCATTTGATTTAAAAATGGCTAAGCTTGAGGTCTCACCTGATTTCGCACAACTGGTTCAAATGATCAAGCATTTGATTCATGGCGTTCTCGCTTGCGTTCAAAATGAGCTGCACTGAAGGTTGACCCATTTTATATCTGTAAAGAATTTCAGTGTAATTATTGTCGTTTTTCATCTCAAACTTGAATGAGAAACATATATACAGTACTTACTTATAGATGTCTGCACACTCAACTGAACTGTTGAGAAAACATGAAGAGAAAAAAACGTTTATAAATTTTTGTGTAGATCTAATTATGGTATTCAGTAAAAATCTGAAGCTGCTTTGGCTATAAGAAACAGGCCAAATTTTAAGTTGTAAAATCTTACCCTTCATCATAGCTCTCAAAAAATTTGTGTTCATTCAATATGGTGCCTTAAGACATGCTTAAGAACCAGATAAAATTTAAATGGCATTCATTTTCAAATTTCAACATCACTTGTAATCAATTTAAAAAGCACATAGTGATGGGTGAAACGGAGCTTTTCAAAACTCCGAATCAATAAACCATTGCGTCGCAAAATGATTCACTGTTTCGAAGCGCTTCAATTGGATTGCGTATCGCAATTCTTTTGTTTCAGATTGGGACTTCAAATCACGTATCGCGAATCATTTGATTTTGATCGTGAATCATTTTGCAAATTGAATGATTCAAATCAAATGATTTGCGATACATGATTTGAAGTCGCGATCTGAATCAAATGATTTGCGATACATGATTTGAAGTCCCGATCTGAATCAAATGATTTGCGATACATGATTTGAAGTCCCGATCTGAATCAAATGATTTGCGATACATGATTTGAAGTCCCGATCTGAATCAAATGATTTGCGATACATGATTTGAAGTCCCGATCTGAATCAAATGATTTGCGATACATGATTTGAAGTCCCGATCTGAATCAAATGATTTGCGATACATGATTTGAAGTCCCGATCTGAATCAAATGATTTGCGATACATGATTTGAAGTCCCGATCTGAATCAAATGATTTGCGATACATGATTTGAAGTCCCGATCTGAATCAAATGATTTGCGATACATGATTTGAAGTCCCGATCTGAATCAAATGATTTGCGATACATGATTTGAAGTCCCGATCTGAATCAAATGATTTGCGATACATGATTTGAAGTCCCGATCTGAATCAAATGATTTGCGATACATGATTTGAAGTCCCGATCTGAATCAAATGATTTGCGATACATGATTTGAAGTCCCGATCTGAATCAAATGATTTGCGATACATGATTTGAAGTCCCGATCTGAATCAAATGATTTGCGATACATGATTTGAAGTCCCGATCTGAATCAAATGATTTGCGATACATGATTTGAAGTCCCGATCTGAATCAAATGATTTGCGATACATGATTTGAAGTCCCGATCTGAATCAAATGATTTGCGATACATGATTTGAAGTCCCGATCTGAATCAAATGATTTGCGATACATGATTTGAAGTCCCGATCTGAATCAAATGATTTGCGATACATGATTTGAAGTCCCGATCTGAATCAAATGATTTGCGATACATGATTTGAAGTCCCGATCTGAATCAAATGATTTGCGATACATGATTTGAAGTCCCGATCTGAATCAAATGATTTGCGATACATGATTTGAAGTCCCGATCTGAATCAAATGATTTGCGATACATGATTTGAAGTCCCGATCTGAATCAAATGATTTGCGATACATGATTTGAAGTCCCGATCTGAATCAAATGATTTGCGATACATGATTTGAAGTCCCGATCTGAATCAAATGATTTGCGATACATGATTTGAAGTCCCGATCTGAATCAAATGATTTGCGATACATGATTTGAAGTCCCGATCTGAATCAAATGATTTGCGATACATGATTTGAAGTCCCGATCTGAATCAAATGATTTGCGATACATGATTTGAAGTCCCGATCTGAATCAAATGATTTGCGATACATGATTTGAAGTCCCGATCTGAATCAAATGATTTGCGATACATGATTTGAAGTCCCGATCTGAATCAAATGATTTGCGATACATGATTTGAAGTCCCGATCTGAATCAAATGATTTGCGATACATGATTTGAAGTCCCGATCTGAATCAAATGATTTGCGATACATGATTTGAAGTCCCGATCTGAATCAAATGATTTGCGATACATGATTTGAAGTCCCGATCTGAATCAAATGATTTGCGATACATGATTTGAAGTCCCGATCTGAATCAAATGATTTGCGATACATGATTTGAAGTCCCGATCTGAATCAAATGATTTGCGATACATGATTTGAAGTCCCGATCTGAATCAAATGATTTGCGATACATGATTTGAAGTCCCGATCTGAATCAAATGATTTGCGATACATGATTTGAAGTCCCGATCTGAATCAAATGATTTGCGATACATGATTTGAAGTCCCGATCTGAATCAAATGATTTGCGATACATGATTTGAAGTCCCGATCTGAATCAAATGATTTGCGATACATGATTTGAAGTCCCGATCTGAATCAAATGATTTGCGATACATGATTTGAAGTCCCGATCTGAATCAAATGATTTGCGATACATGATTTGAAGTCCCGATCTGAATCAAATGATTTGCGATACATGATTTGAAGTCCCGATCTGAATCAAATGATTTGCGATACATGATTTGAAGTCCCGATCTGAATCAAATGATTTGCGATACATGATTTGAAGTCCCGATCTGAATCAAATGATTTGCGATACATGATTTGAAGTCCCGATCTGAATCAAATGATTTGCGATACATGATTTGAAGTCCCGATCTGAAT